AGGAGGAGAAGGAGAAGAAGAAGAAGGAGGAGGAGGAGGAGAAAGAAGGAGAAGGAGAAGGAGGAGAAGGAAGGGGCCTGTAATCCGCATCTCCAGGAAGAACCGCCCGAGAACTTCAGCTTTAACCCAGCAGCAGGATAGAAAACAGTACCAGCAAATCCAAGTGCATTTAAGGATGCTGGAAATCGCCTGTGCAGAACTTGGCATCTTTCCACCTCCAAAATCTGCTTTAGATGGAGCTAGAGTTTCGTTCAGAAAATAGGAGGCAGGGCCGAGCTGCAGTTCGGAGGGAGAGATCCAGATCCGTAACTGCTGGATTCGGGAAAACAAAGCTCCGTGTTGAGCTCCGAGGCCAGGCCGGGCCCTGGAGGCTTCGGCCTTGACCTGAGGGAACCTCCGTGGGTAACTCAAGGACAAATCAGGCTCCACCAGGGACACCGAAACCACTCAGGGTAAGGATTCAAACTGCGTTTGGCCAGATATGAAAAGTCTGGACAACTTTACCCTTCTCCCCGCCCTGATAATTATTTTCACAGTTGCTCCTGCGCTGCCTGAAGCTCCTCAAAATTCCGCTTTTCTGGAGAGCTCTGCGCGCACGAAGTTCTGGGAGCCCCCGGCTGCTCAGGAAGATGCGGCCACCCCTTTTCGCACCGGAGGGAATTGGAGGGGGAATGGGATGTGCTCGCAGCCCACAGCCCTCTCCTGTCCCCGTTTTGGGCCTCGTTTCTGCATTTTGTGGCCACCTCCAGAGGCAGAGGCGTGACAGCACCTTGAGGACATCTACGCCTCTCCAGAGACATCTTCTCCCTTCCTCGGCACGTTCTGCTCATCCTGCAAACGGTCCCAGGCCTTGGATTTCTCTCCCCAGCCCCCGGGTTGCCTCTGCAGGGACTTCACTGCTGGAGATGGTCAAGTCTCAACCACGAGTTTACAAGGGAGGTTGTTGCCCCATGAGTCTTGCAGCACAAAAATGCTTCTCATCTGTTCCCAGTAACGCCCCAGCTCTTTTTCTCTTAAATGTCTGTGTCTTGAAAGGTTCCTTTTCTCTTCCTCAAAGATTTCTGCCACTCATGGTCAAAGGGGTGTAAAGGGGAAGGAAAAGTGCTGGCGTGCCACTGTGACTTGGCTTTATTTCAGGAATAACAGAATACATTTCCTGACTTGGTGCCTACAAAAAAATCAGATGAAACCCTTGCTCTGGAGTTGATTTTGCTGTCCCCCCAACAAGATTTTTCAGGAAAATGGGAAAAGGATCTGGAAGAGATGACAAACATGGATAAATGAGGGTGCCGGAGGCTCCCAGTGCGGATGCTGTCGGTCATTCCTCAGCTTCATGAGTGTGAGCCGTGGGCCTGGGAGGAAAAGAGGAGTTTGCAAGAGGAGCAAACTGGTTCAGGCTGAAAAAGGGTTTCATCTTCTGGCTGCCACACGGTGAGTTCAATTCCGCCTTCTCATGGTGGCCTCCTATGGAGGTGACAATCACACTGAGCACCTCATGAACGGTCCTTTCTCTCCAGGACTTTCTTGCTTTGGTGTCTGTGGGTAGGAGGACAACAGACATGAGGGTTCTGCAATTACAGGCGGGTTGGTGGCTTGGCCCTGCTGCCACGTGTGGGCTGGCTGTGGCACCTGGGTGCTAGAGCAGCACGGAAAGAGCAGGTCAGAGCCACGACGGCTCATCGGGCGGCTCTGACCCTGCAGGCTGCAGGGAGCTCCTTCCCGCAGCAGAAAGGGCTGCAATAAGAGGAAACGAAGCTTCTGCAGGGGATTCTACCACTGCCTGGTCTCTGCCTACGGAGCAGGGAGGCAATGGGAAGAGGGGGACACTGGAGGGTTCCTGCTTACTCGGACTGCAGCGGACTCGGAGCAGGTCTCTGGCACAGGTCAGCTTGTGGACAGGAAATTGTTGCAAGATGCAGAGTCCTCCACGGTGTCTTTTTTGATGAAGAAGAGGGGTTGAAAACCAGCTTCAGCATCCTGGTAAACCTCTGATCCAAGCTGAATAAGGGTTGCTGCAATAAGCTCAGCCTCCAGCTGATGGACACGTGAATAGAAGCAGCTGGGGTTCCTCTAGCCAGGATAGAAAGAGCCTTCCTGTGGACTAGGGTAAAAGAATGTGGGTTTGAGCCACCATCCGTGTGTCAATCTCAGGCCAGAAAGGTGCTCACTGGCTCCTCAAGGCATCCACCTCTTCCGCTGGGCATTACCTTCATCTTTCCTGGCTGTAAGTGGAACCATGTGTCCTTCATCCAGGCTTGATCTCCTCCAGGGCCCTGTGTCATCTAAGGAGCCCGGTCCCAGCAGCAAGTTGACTTGCAATTGCAAGGATAGAAATCTTTGAAAAACTGAGTAGTTGCAATTTCTGATTGAATTAATTGGGGGTTTCTGGCCAATAATGATTTCCTTCCCCACCAGTTAGTGTTTCTCCAGTATGTCTCCAAAGGCCTTAAAGCAGAATTCAATAAATCCTTGGGCAAGCTCCTAACAGCGGTGCTGCTTTCCCTTCATTGCTACAGTCTAATGCATTCTCCTTGCAACGTAAAGATAGATGGGCCCCAGCCCCTGATTCTGCTGATGCAAGAATTCCTCCCGTCTTACTTTTGCCAAGATTTTTGAGAGCTGAAAAGAATCCTCCTGAAGCTGTAAAGCTGCTGCTTAAGGGATTAGCACTCCTTCACGCTGGGGATGAACAGTTACTAGGTTTTCTGCAGGCAGCAAAGCTAACCACGGCGTGCAAAAAATAAATTGCAGAAAATCCAGTTCTGTTCTCTAGACCCGGCTCTGTAAATGAGACCAATGAAATGCATCTTTTCGGGGCTTCTGCTGTTTTTCCCACTAGTGCAAAAATGTGAAGTGGAAGCTATAGTCTCAAGTCCCGTTAATTTCTGAAGCAGAGAGAAGCTGTGCAGGTCTGAATTTTAAACAATTTGTCATTTGGAGCTGAGGATTTGGTCCGGTCTGCTGCAACTGCTCTGTTCTGCAGCAACTTGGCTGCTTTTGCAGGACTTGCTGCCTGCAGAAAAGGCCTCCCCTGTAAATGAGGCATGTCCTCCCCCTTAGCAGAGATGCAATTTCCCCTTCCATTCCTTTGCCACTGAGCCAGCATTCCGGAATGATGTATTTTAATTGATTTCAGCAATTGAATCCCTTGGCTTGGAGGCATGTGCAATGCAGGACAGATCGTGCGCAATTTTAAGTTATTGTTTTCCTTTGCATTCGGAGGACAAACGCTGACAAAGTGGGTTTATCTACAGCCCAAACAACAGCAATGGGTGCTCAGGAGAAGGGGCAGCCGTAGGTTGACACGTCGTTCTGAGTGTTGGTGCCCTCAGCACCACGGACCCAAACGCAAATCTCCTTTGGGCCCAGGAATCTTCCCATTTTGGCTTCGGGTCTGTTTGAAAGGGACAAGGGCCACCAAGATCCAAGAGTTCTGGTCCTGGCCTCAGCTCCAGCTGCCCTGGGGTATTTCCCTGTGCTCAGACCTAGCCCGGATTCACCCTGGGAACGTGCAGAGCTCTGAGCTCCAACAGCCTCTGCCTTGGCTTGCAGCATTCCCTGAGCCACGTTTTAGGGAGAGCAGGGAACAACCTTCCACTTACAGCTGAAACAGGCGATGGATTTCTCTCCAGAGGCCAAAAGCAAAGGGAACTAACCAACCACACCACTCCGAGCACGGATATAAGTCTGCTCTCACTTACATAGCTAGGAGGAACTGATCCAAACCCCACTGAAGTCAATGGAAAAACTGCCATTGAGTTCAGAGTGCCCTGAAGTCTTTTTGATGAAATCCCATGTGCAAAACGGTGCAAGCAAAGGAAGAGATTCTCTGTGTGCTGCAAGCAGGAGCCTATAAAAAGAGGGAGGTAAAAAATGGGCATATTTCTAGGGAAAATCTGCTCATTGAGTAACTGTGACGTAGCTTTAAACCTGTGAGTTGCTGGATTCATCTAAAAAGAATGAGCAGAATTCAGCTGAACGTTTTAATATTGCTTTGCTGTCTCCTTCCTTGCCAGGGCAGCTCTTCCCATGCCCAGATGGCCGCGTTGGGCGTTTCCATCTGCTCGGGATCGGGATCGCTGTCTCCGGAGCCACCGGCAAGGGCTGCGGGTTGCTGTTACCTTCACAGCAGTGAAGCCCGGAGGTCGGTGCCGTGAGTTGGTGCTTGGCTACCAAGTGTGATTAGGGAGGTTAAAACACCCAGGTCACCTACCAGGAAGGCAGCTGAGCACATTTTTGGCTTCCATTAGCTTCAAGGTTAAACACAGGCTTAAGGGTTGTCCTGCCCATGAATCACTGCTCCAAATCAAAGGACCATCTGCCTCTGTCCTCCTTCCCTCCTTGCTCCCTGGAGATACTGCAGTCATTCAAATAAATAAGGAGCAGATCTCTACCTCGTGACTAGGTAAAGCAAAGGGACCGGAGAAAGACCTGGGTGTCATGGTGGACGACAAGTTGACCATGAGGCAGCAGTGTGCCCTCGTGGCC